GTTGCGATTCTTTCCTGTAGACGCCCTAGCAGCCCCTGCTGAATGTTAACGGTTTATTAAGACGGTCCCCGTGACTGACCGTGAGGTTGATTAAATAGTGCACGGGGGGAACACCCCGTTATCAAATACACCTTTCCCTGCCCCTCCTCCCCTCCCCACAGACAGCATGGCAAAGACATCGGGACAAGACCCTCTGTGCTTCACCTCCTGAATCGCTCAGATCGTGCTGTGGAGCGCAAGGATAACTCTCCTCCCACGCCGACTGGGGACGAACCGGCTCTCTGCTGATGTCCCTTCCCCCTCGGATGCCCGATTAAAACCCTTCACAGACTGCCGCCGGACTGTCCCTCTCTCCCCCCACTTCAGGGTAATCGAGTGGGTTGAACACCCCACTGGCTGCAGGCAAAGGGCTGCAGCGTCTGCGCTGGGGGGGAGTCCGGAGGGGTCTTTCCGGACGCCGACCTGCGCTCCGTAGCGGGGCAGGGGTTCTTCCCCCGGCCCCCCTGGTCTGGCGGAGATCCCTCTCCGTCCCCAAGTCGGATCCGGGTGCCGGAACGCGGTACCGTTCCTTCTCCCCACCAGCTGCGTGGGTCTGCTGCTCTTCGGGGGGCAGGGGTGATCTGGGATACCGCGTCCTGGGACGCCAACATCCGCCGAGATCCCTTCACCGACTCCCCCCCCGGACCCTCTCTCTCCCCTGCGGGACCGTGGCAGGGGCGTCTCTAAAGCCCGCGCGGCGCTAAGACCCCTCCCGCGCGGGCAGCGGCAGGGGCACCGTCCCACCCCGCGCGCGAGTGCGCCCGGGTCTCTCCCCCATGTGCACCAGCTGGTGGGCTTTCAGAGAGCCCGGCAGGCTGAAGCCCCTCCTGCACTGGGGGCAGCTGAACGGCTGCTCGCCCGAGTGGGAGAGCTCGTGCCGCCGCAGGTCCCCCCGCTGGATGAAGCCCCTGCGGGGCTGGGTGATCTGGGATACCACGTCCTGGGACGCCAACATCCGCCGAGATCCCTTCACCGACTCCCCCCCCGGACCCTCTCTCTCCCCTGCGGGACCGCGGCGGGGGCGTCTCTAAAGCCCGCGCGGCGCTAAAACCCCTCCCGCGCGGGCAGCGGCAGGGGCACCGTCCCACCCCGCGCGCGAGTGCGCCCGGGTCTCTCCCCCATGTGCACCAGCTGGTGGGCTTTCAGAGAGCCCGGCAGGCTGAAACCCCTCCTGCACTGGGGGCAGCCCCCGAGTGGGAGAGCTCGTGCCGCCGCAGGTCGGCCGGGTGGCCGTAGCGCCGCCCGCACTGGGCGCAGCCGAGGGGCCGCTCCTCCGCGTGGACCCGCTGGTGCCGCCGCAGGTCGGCCGGCTGGGTGTAGCCCTTCCCGCACTGGGGGCAGCGGAAGGGCCGCTCGCCCGAGTGGGAGAGCTCGTGCCGGCGCAGGTCCCCCCGCTGGATGAAGCCCCTGCCGCACTGGGGGCAGACGAAGGGCCGGCGGGCGGCGTGGGTGCGCTCGTGCCTCTTGAGGTTGCCCGCCTCGTTGAAGCCCCTGCCGCACTGCGGGCAGCGGAAGGGCCGCTCGCCCGTGTGGGTGCGCAGGTGGGTCCTCAGGGGGCCCGGCAGGCTGAAGCCCTTGCCGCACTGGGGGCAGCCGAGGGGCCGCCGCCCCGCGCCGTGGGTGTACTGGTGGGTCTTCAGGTGGCAGGACTGGCGGAAGGCCCTCCCGCACTGGGCGCAGCGGAAGGGCTTCGCCCCGGCGTGGATGCGCTCGTGCCTCTTCAGGGTGCTCGAGTGGGGGAAGCCCTTCCCGCACTGGGGGCAGGCGAAGGGCCGCTCCTTCGGGGGGGGTCCGGGGGGGTCTTTCCGGCTCGCGCTCCGTTCCGCCCCGGCCCCCCGGTCTGCCGGAGGTCCCTCTCCGCCCCGACCCTCATCATCCGGGTGCTGGAACTCCCCACCAGCGGCGTCGGCCTGCTGCCCCGCGGGGTGGGGGGTCCGGGACACGGCGTGCTGGGCCGAGACGCCGACATCCACGTCAGTCAGCTCCTCTTTTTTGAGCCCGTTGAGAGACAAAGATCCTCGTTCTGTAACACTCTTACTGTCCAGATGATTCAAGCCATCAGATACTAAGAGCCCAGCTGTCTCACACTCAGGCTCGGTCTTCATCACGGGCACAGAGTCCAGATCCCCCACCCTCTGTCTGCTCTCTGCGTGCTGCTGCTCACCGAGCGTCTCTTTCCCGTGTGCGGCGGCGAGCTCTGTCTCCTGCATCAGACGGGAGCCCCCCCCCTCCTCCTCCTCCTCCTCCTCACTGGGCTGCTGTTCAAGAGGAGCCCTGTCCCCAGAGTCAGGGAGAGCGCTGACCTCTGACCCTGCAAGACACAGGACAAGGGAACAAGACCTTTAACATGGGCTGAGTGTAAAGGTCAAGACCTTCTCCGAGAGAACGTTTAACGTAGCAATAACTGAATAATCATAAACAATGAAGACCAAAGGAAGAATTGTGATGATAATCAAGATCAATAAAACATCTACCAGATTAGAAGCCGTGCAAAGGCACAAGCACAAGACTATACATGCCATGCACACAAAAGAAGAGAGCTAAGATATTTCAGTTCATGGATGACTTTAGTTTATGTATGCATGGATTAGTTTATCTGCAGGGTCAATCAAGTTGGACTCCATGTCCTGCTCTGTAAGATTAAACTCACCCAGTTCTTCTTTCAGCTCTTGTACAGAGACACGGCCCAGTTCAATACAGTGTGCTGCAATATTCTTGGTGTCCAGATTGTTCATCGTCACTGTAAAATCATCAGATACTAAGAGCCCAGGTGTCTCACTCTCAGGCTCGGTCTTCATCACGGGCACAGAGTCCAGTTCCCCCACCCGCTGTCTGCTCTCTGTGCGCTGCTGCTCACTGAGCGTCTCTTTCCCTTCGGCAGCAGTGAGCTCTGTGTACTGTCTCAGACGGTAGTCCCACTCCTCCTCACTGCACTGGTGGTCAAGAGGAGCCGCTGTAGCTGAAAAACACAGGACAAGAGAAAAAAGACCTTTAAAATGGGCTTTCCCCAGCAAAATAACCTCAGAGAAAAAAAAAGTCAATTTCAGACTAAAGAGACTCAGTTCCTTCAGCCAGTCAGTGTGGGACACTCCCTTCTGACTCAAGAGACTCAGTTCCTTCAGCCTGTCAGTGTGGGACACTCCCTTCAGACTAAAGAGACTCAGTTCC